AGGCCACAATCCTCCTACTTACCAGGACATCAGGCCACAATCCTCCTACTTACCAGGACATCAGGCCACAATCCTCCTACTTACCAGGACATCAGACCACAATCCTCCTACTTACGCCTTCCACCACAGCTGGAATGACAAGTACTGCTTCCACTTCCGGTATATTAGTGGAGATAGGGATCTCATCATCTTTGTTCACCGAAGCTGCCCTCAAACCACAAACCTTCCCATCTCTGCCTCCCAAATAGCTGTACTTACAGGAATATGCTAACACTTGCTGCCATAAAACTATCTTAAATGCAGAAGTATCACACAAAAGACCCATTCCAACTGGGAACAAATATAAATATGTGCTCATGGCACTTGTGAAGGCCAAGGAGATAGTTTTGGTGTAGACTTCACCCAATGGATACACAGGACTTTGAATAGGCACGGAACTTCTGTTGGTGTCACTCTCTGGTGGCTGGAAATGCTTCATGCTCAATGTAATCAGCAGGGCTCCTGTCATCAGAAAGTGCATTCAAAGCCTACTTGACAAAAAAAAAGTGTTTAATCTTCAATATTAAAGGATATAACATCATGAATATACTGTCTGTCTCTTGCTCGCTGGCTCTTGCTCTCACTCTCACTATCTTTGTAGTACTAAGGACTGAACTTAGAGCTCCAAGCACTACTATACTGCTTAAGCCATGCTCTCAGTTCTTTTTTTAGTTTGTTTTTCAGATAAGAGCCTATTTGCCCAGGATGGCCTCAAACCAAGATCCTCCTACCTCTACCTCCTGAATAGCTGAGATGATAAGCATGTGCCACTACACCTGTCTAAAACTAGTTTTCTTTAACTTAAAATAATGATGATGATAATAATAATAATAAAGAAAAGGAGAAAGGATTGGACTGGACTGGAAAAATACACCCATTGAAGTGATGAGTCTGGAAAAAATATTTCACTCAATTGATGATGGCAGTTAATGTGTGGTCTGGGAAGATGAGGGGGAAATGGAAGATAATTTCATGTAAAAAAAAGTTTTAATATTCTAGAGTAAGATTTCTGTATTGCTTTGATATGACACCTATATGGTTGCAAACAATGACACAAGCCTAGAATCACAACCCAATAGAAATATCACTGCTTAAAACCCTAAGTGATGGCTCCCTACCTGTAGCCACTCCTGAACTTTACACAGATAAACTATAAAGATCACAGGCACCCAAAAAGCCCCCATTTTATGCTCATTGCATGACCTCAGGGCTAAGAATGGTCCCTCATCAGACCTATTCCCAGGCTTAGCTGCACCTCCTAACCCATGTCCCAGCTTTCCTCCTTCATTAAGATAACATTTAGCAAAGCCGCTATGAAGCCAGCTCTGTTCACTTCCCATTAACTGTTACTGCATGAGCCTTCTCTCCTTTATTCCTAGACAAATAAACAGAAATAAAAATCCAATTTGGGGAGCGACTTGATATATCTGAAGTTAACAAAACCACCTGGGCTTTGACCTGACAGGTCATGATGAGTAAAACCCTTTTCATGAGCAATATTTTGCTTCAACTCCAACAGGGAGACAAATAAATCTGTAAAGCTGACTGAACAGAAATGCAGCTAAAGAACACAGGCATATATTAACTATTTCCTTCCTGCCAACCCCAGAGTCTTCCTGCCCTACAGTTCCTGAATCTATAACTAAGATCAGCAGCTCTGAAGTCCAGCACTGGACCTATGGATGAATGGTGACAGTTCAAATTGGGCCCATGATGTAGATGCTTTAAACCACATTTTTCATGTGCTTGTTCCTTCAGGTGAAATAATACAGAGACTCACTTCCTTTCACCCTGTTGTCCAGGAAACAAAAAGGTATGCTCACCAGGTACTGGTGGCTCACACCTGTAATCCTAGCTACTCAGGAAGCTAAGATCAGAGGATCGCAGTTCAAAGCCAGCCTGTGCAGAAAAGTCCAAGAGATTCTCATCTCCAATTAATAACCAAAAAAAAACAAAACACACACACAAAAGAAATGGAAGCGGAGCTGTGCTCAAGTGGTAGAATGCCAGCCTTAAAGGAAAAGGCTAAGGGAGAACACACTGGCCCTCAGCTCAAGCCCCAGTATTGACACAAGAAAGTTCTTAAAAACTGGAAGTAAATAAATAAAATAAATAAAAACTAGAAGAAAGGAATGCTGGGACTTTTCTGCAGACAGGCCTCCCTTTATCCATGAGCCGGTTCTAAAGGACAAAAGCCCCCTAGACACAGCTTTAGACAATGACTCCATACCCACCCACCTCACCCTGCTCTGGGGCCATCCGCTGTCCGGTGATCTTTGTATAAGGTGAATGAATTGGGGGTTGGATGGATCTCAGGTTGAATTTGCCCACACAACTTCCCACAGCCTTACAAGCTGCTGGTTTGTAAATTCCCAGAGCAGCACACATTTCAAAAGTGAATTCTCAATCAATGCTGGAATCAACCACATGGACTCCAGATCAAAGCCCATTAACTTAGACGTCTCTAAATCAAAGCATCTTAAAGATCCAAGCTGCCGCTCTTTCCACATTGGTAACCAAATTAATAGTGACACCAAGGTAAACCTTTAGTTGGCATCAGAGTGAAGGTCAATAGACTTTTTTCCAAGAGCGACTCTTCTGACAACACTTGTATTCAGGGAATGTAACAATTAGATATAAAGCCCATCTATTTGGAAGGCCTTCTGAGATAATTTCACCCTCTCATATTAATGGTGAGAATTAATTTCTTTCCCAATGTCCTAGAACAGATGTTCACTGACTTTTCTGACAATCAACAGGGGTCTGAGCACTAATGGCTGTGACGGCTCTTTCTGAGCGCTTGCCCCAACCCTGATCTTGATTATCTACTTAGGGCCCACCACTGGGAGCTTCTCCATATATTAAAACAAATATGAATCAAAAGGTTAAAAAAAAACCATTGAGCAGTACAAATTGGCTGCTAACTATTTACACGGCTCAGAGAAAGCCCCTCTATTCAGCAGCTGGGCAAATACACCTGACACAGGTCTGACACCTCTACCACCCTGCCCCCAGTCCCAAGAGTAAGGCCACATCACGACTGCAAAGTGCCCTCACCAAGAATGGCTCAGGTACTCAGGCAGGCCAGGCCTTGGTGAGGAGACAGAATGGGACTTAGCAGGAGGCTAGACAGAGGGGCTAAGCCAGACTTCTATCCACTACTGTGGGGCTCAAGCCTTCTGATGACAAGGTCTTTATGCCAGGGCAAGTAGATATTCTCCAGAAGCTGATTTATCTACAGCTTGGTGGACTGGGGCTGCGAATGTGGCTTAGTGGTAGAGTACTTGCCTAGCATGCATGAAGCCCTAGGTTTGATTCCTTAGTACCACATATACAGAGAAGGCCAGAAGTGGTGCTGTGGCTCAAGTGGTAGAGTGTTAGCCTTGAGCAAAAGAAGCTTAGGGACAGGGCCCAGGACTGGCAAAAAAAAAACAGGATAAGGTAGCTCACTATGAGAATCTCAGAAGTCGTACTGCATAGCTACATTCAACAACAAGGACCTGAATGTCCTGAGAGCAGAATACTCAAGGCCATTCAAGCTTTCAATGGGGGTGAGGGGAGAGGAGATAAAAGACAGATGGTGTTTCCTCAGGCCAGCATCACAACTGTCCACCCAACCTTCACATCCAACTACCAGGGCCAAAGGATAGTGCTTCACCCCTACGAGCAACTCGTTTCTCATTCACCTCACTGTCCAAAAACTAAGATCTTAGGAAGTCTTCTTTCTCTTCCTCTAGTCAGGAATTTAATACAAGGAAGAAGAAAGGAGGTGGGCATGGCCTATATTCTCAGCACTTAAAAGACAGAAGACTGTGAGTTCAGGACTAGTGAGGGATACTTAGGGAAATTATCCTATCTAACAAAGTAAGAAAGAAGAAAGAGAAGAGGGAGGCAGGAGGGAGAATCCTTCCTACTTCCCCGTGATTGAGTGAGGAAATGGTTTTTTACCTCAAGCTCCCCCATGTAACTCTTCCTGTACCTGTTCACTTTCTGGGTGATCAAGTACCAGCTCCAGGACTTACTGGGGAGAAGTACCTGGGGAAACTGTACATGCCGGCCCCACAGTGTCACTGGCATCACCCCTTCTCCTCTGCCAACAGTAGCAGTGTACTCTGTTAATGGGCTTTAGCCATGGCCTGTGGCTGCCACACATGGCCTGGCCTTGGCTTGCTCTGCTCAGCCATTACAACCTTCAGGCTGCAGTGCAGTTTGTGCCAGGCTTCTCTGGGAGCAATTACATGCTCATCCACTCCCAACTTGTTGGCCTAATTTTGGAAAAACAAAATGCCTAAAATCTCTAGCTTACCTCCAATGTTGGTACCTTTTTAATCTTTTTCCCCCACTTTATAGCCCCTCAGTGGGAAATTGGAGCGGTGAGATGGAACAAGTACACAGCAGATGTGAGATCAAACCCTGAGCCCTTGCTGCTAGGCCTTTCCATCCTCACCCTCCCATGGGCCTATTTATGGTCACATGCTGCCCTATACAGGCAGGTGTGTGGTTATCTCTCTGATGATATCACCGGCTCCCCAAGGGCCAGGGCCAGGATCAAGACCTGCCTCTCCTTTCCCCCACTCTAGCTCTGCCCTCATAGACATCTATCCGGAGCCACCCATCACAACATCTGGGTTTGTAATGGTATCTGACATTCAAATTCTGAACTTACTGAAATGTAAGTAAGGGGATGACAAATCATAGTACCAAGATCCCTTTCATGCCTCATTACCTGTGTAGACTCTACTGGCTAATGCAGCATGAAGGCATGTCTCAAGCTTGAAGAGAAATTAATATCGCACAGGGGTAGATAACTAGAAGACAGCAATACTCACCAGGTGAGGCATCAGGAGGTCCACTGAGTATACGAAAGCAGCACCGAGGGTAAAGCCAATAGCCACGGGGAAGAAGGCAAAGGCACCGAAGTTCCCTGAGGATGTGGCCATTTCCACTGCTGGGGCCAGCAGAGACCAATAGGAAGCTGCCAACATGACCTGCAAAAGGCACAGCCAGCAATAGACCATTAAATCACCCTGAGGTCTTCCCTCTGGGAACCTCAGCTGCTTTCTGTGGTTCAAAGGGCACTCTGTAGTTTCTCAGGTGTTTAATCTCAGGCATAGAAACTATCCCAACCAAACAGGTGACCCCAGAATTAATATTTCTCCTGGAACTACAGTAGTAAAAACCCAATTCAGGACAGGATAGAGTTGACCTGGGATGAGGGAATCCAGTTCGCCATCATCTAGCCTCAGGCCCAATGTTTCTCAACTTGCAGAAATTTTGCACCCAAGGCAATATCTGGAGACTTTTTCCAATTGTCATAATAAGGGCACAGTAGTAGGAGCATCTGGTGAGTAGGGGTAAAGTGCTGGTATTCTATGCACAGCACAGAAACAAAGAATTGCCTAGCCCCCAGTGTCGATAACAGCATTGAGAAATCCTGTTCTAACTGAATGCTTCCAAAACAAATTGCTCATCACTTCATGAGCTCCACTACATTATAACATCACTCTAATTAGTACAGAGTACCTCCTTCTGTTGAGCTGAAATCTCTGTTCTTTTGCTTTTTAGCTATATTAGGTCTTTGTCTGATCTCCGTTGCTTCAAAGAAGGTGCCTTTCCTCTGTGATAAGTGACATTCTTGAAAACATTTGGAGACCACCAGTAGGCCAGTGTCAAATCAGTCTCATACATTTTCTGTTGCCTACAAAGAGAGAGGGCCAGGCACTGGTGGCTCACACCTGTCATCCTAGCTACTCAGGAGGCAGAGAGCTGAGGATCATGGTTCAAAGCCAGCCCGGGCAGGAAAGACCGTGAGACTCCTATCTCCAATAAACCACCAGAAAACAGGAAGTGGCGCTGTGGCTCAAGTAGTAGAACGCTCGCCTTGAGCTGAAGAGGTCAGGGACAGCGCCCAGGCCCAGAGTTCCAGCCTCACAACTGACAAAAAAAAAAGGCAGAGAGGCACTAGTATTTACCCATCACATACCATTTCCAGGAAGACTGACATTTGATCCCTGTCTTACCATCACAACCTCAGGAGGCATTATCTTCTACTACTATATGAAAATAAGGACAATGAATTTCAGTTGGGGTCTGGTGGCTCAGGCCTCTGATCCTAGCTACTCAGGAGGCTGGGACCTGGGCATCCTGGTTCAAAGCCAGCCCAGGCAAGATAGTCCATGAGACTCGTATCTCTACCAAAAATCTGGAAGTGGAGATGCGGTTCATGCACACAAAGAAAGAAAATCTTGAATAGTAACGCAGCTGCTCCTTTTCATGGGCAGTAAGTGGCAGATCCAGGGAACTGACCAAGCAACTCAATGAGGGGAGAAACGAAGGAGAAGGGAAAAGCTGCTCTCAGATCTCACCAAGGTCAAACTGATCAGAGGTGATGAGGTCTCCAGTGGTGGCCAGATTTAAACAGTCAACCACAACTGTTTGCTCTTGTCTATGCTATGACATCCTCATGGCTACAGTACACCCACCTTCTGACGAAACTACATGACAGTCCTCACCAACACATAAAATGTTGAATGTGTTTCTAAAAATTACTTAATTATGCCTTGCTTTTAGAAAAAGAAAACACACCTGAATCATCCTTCTCCAAAATAATATTCCGGCGACAGATGCAGAATGACAGATACAGAAGCCAAGAACAAACACATGCATAAATCCATAAATGCCACCATCCACACAAAACTTCCTGCCCTGGCCAAATTCTCCTTGGCAAAAGTCTTAATACTGCCCACAGAAAACTGCATCTGTCCCAAGACTCCGGGACCAAATGAAAGTACCTCATGTAAACCAGATGGGTGCTGCAGTTAAGCCAGGCCATACACACACAAAAAAAAAAAAAAAAATCAAAGGCAAGCCAAGAGCTCCCTGACCCCTACTACACCTCATCCAGCATCACCCACCCCTTTTCCAGAAGTGGCTATACTAGCTTATAGTCCAACAGCCCTTGGTAGCTCTCCATCAAAAATCACCTGCACAGTGACCCAGAGATGAATAGGTCCTTGAAAGACTGACCCATCTGTAACCTTTCTCCCTGCATGTTTCAGGGCCTCTGCTACATCTCAACTTGAACAATTCTGTAGCTGAAGAACCCAGATAATCACAGCATCCTTTAGACCCTCCCACACTCATCCCATGATGAGGGGATAGGGCACTCTCACATATACCTTTTGAACTCCTCCAGCCTCTGCACTCATAAATGAAATGAAATTAGGTATACCAGAGAGATACCTATGTGCACCTTCAGATCTATGGTAGTGCTATTCACAGAGCAAAGACAGGGGGCCAACCTAAACACCCACCAAAGGATGAAAGGATAAGGAAAATGTACTAAGTATCTATAATGGAATATTATTTGACCTTAAAAGGCATGAAATCTTTGGTACCAGTCCTGGAGTTTTACCTAAGGGTCTAGGCACTGTCCCTGAACTTTTGGGCTTTTGTTTTGTTTTTTTGCTAGTTAATTGGCATTAAGAGTCTCACAGACTTTCCTTCCTAGACTGTGTTCAAACTGTGATCCTCAGATCTCAGCCTCCTGAGTAGCTACAGGCATGAGCCACTGGCACCCAGCTAAAAGGCATGAAATCTTAGTTGCAACAACATGGGTGGAACATGGATGGAACTAGAGGACATCACAAATATGACAGGATCCAAAGTAATCTGAAAGCCTTTCCCTTAGAAGTAGAAAACAGAACTCTGATCAGTCAATGGATACAAAGTTACAATTAGACAGGAGGAATAAGTAAAAGGATGGGCACAGCTGACAACTATGTAACTAGTTACAAGGACTCTTCAATGCACTACAACAAGGAAATGAGTGTTTAAAGTTATCAAATACTGGGAATACTCTGATTAAGATTGTTGTATGATATATACACTCTGTACTTACGGACTGCAATTATTACTACATGCATACAATTACTATGCATCCATTTTAAAAATAAATGTAAAAAAGTCTACAATGAATCAATATCAATAACAATGGCACCAAATTGATCCCATGGGTGTTCTCTTAACATTGTGATATGAACTACTCCAAGAAAATCCAGAAGTAGAAAGTTTTGACAAGTAATAAACAGTGGTAATGAACCTGCTAAACATTTGCCTCTGGAAGATAAATCACACCTCACAAATTTACATCTATTAATAGCCCCTAAGTACCTTAGCAATAGATAGGCAAACAGTAATTAAGGAACTCACTGTTCATTCCCATTCTAGTGGAGCTGATGCTGGGGATTTCAAAACAGAAGAGATTACATGGTGAACTTTTCGTCTAAGAATCAACTTATCTAGGACTCAGAAGTCTTCACTGGAACGATCATGATTTTCACAAGATGTTCACATTACGGAAAGCCAGACAAAACATACACAGAAACTCCCTGAACTATTTGTGAAGCTTTTCTGAAAACCTAAAATACATTCTAAATAAAGAGCCTGTTAGCCAGATGCTGGTGGCTCATAATCCTAACTACCCAGGAGACTGAGATCTGAGGATTGTGGTTCAAAGCCAGTCCAGGCAGTAAAGTCCATACAACTCTTACCTCCAGTTACTCAGCAAAAAGCTGGAAGTGGAGCTATGATGCAAGAGGTAGAGGGAAAAAAAAAAGGAAGGAAGGAAAGGGAGGGAAGGGTAGGGAGATAAGGAGGGAAGGAAGAAAAAACTGGAAAGAACATATTAAAAACTAAAGATAATAAGCACAGTCTCAGAGGTTCAGAGAAGATTGAGGGAGGTCATCTCCACTGAGGGGTCAAAAGGCAGACAGAGCAAAGGAATGAAGCCATGGCACCCATGGTTTGCTCTGTAGGGTCAGGAAAATAGTGGGCCTGCAGCCTCCTTTTTATAGCTCAAGGACATCCAGATGGAAATGACCACCCTGGGACAGTAAATCCAGTCCTGAATCCAAACCCATTCCTAGCCCCAAAGCTACACATCATTTCTTGGATGTTTAAAATTCTTTGAAGTCTTTTTTTTAAGCAGATAAATAGATTTGATTAATACTTATCAAGACACTCTAGAATAGTGGAGGAAAGAGAGCATCCTCCTTAAACAATATTGGGCAACTGGATTACCAGCTGAATAAAAATCAAAACTAGATTTATTCAAAACTTTATTCCTATAACGCAAACAAACTTAATATAAAAGCTCCTTAAAAATCACAATTCACAATGTTACCTACTCAGTACATCTAATCAGAGAATCACTTCCTTCTAAGCTTTTGAAATGTTTATTAATGCCAACATGACAACATAATCCAATAGGAAACCTTACCAAAGTTTAAGCTGTGCTCTCCTGCACTCCTGCTAGAGGAACCCTATGCCCACAAAATCAAAATGCAGGGACAGGAATCCATGGGGACAGAGGACACAGCAGCCATAATGTTTTGGAAGGCAATCACTGACAGACACCCTGGGAAGGTAACACATGGGCCCAGGCAAGAGAATGAGAAGCAAAGTGGCTCAGTCCCCAGAATAGCCTTTGAAATGAGGGTGCAAATAGGCCCACAAAGGGGACCAGGGACCGCCTAGGGGACCAGCCTAGAACAGATGCAAACTGACCCTACATTCCACCAGTACCTGAAACAGCCAAGCAGCTGTTCCACCCAACAGTCAGCAACACCCACCCACCCCTGTCCAGCCAAAGGTGTCATGAAACAGGGGGAAAGGCAACTGGCTATACACTGGAGAGGGGACACTGGCACCCTCCCACACCCTCACCCCAATTCTACAATGGAAATCCAATGGGATAAAGGATCCTGGTCACAAAAGAGCTTTCTTCAGAAATGTCTCTGCCTAGTACCCTACCACCCACCTGGAATGTGTATTTCTCTTGAGGGCTCCTAAGTTTCAGCCTTAATGCCAGAGGCTGAAAGGGACTCAAGAAAATACTTCAAATCAGCAGACAGTTACAACCCTTCTCATGTTTCCAGAATAAAAATCCCTTCTGTAGTTCTTACAACTTAGCTTATAATAAGATCCC